TGTTTCTAGTCTACTTCTTTATAATGGTGCCCATCACCACTATTATTCCCTGTCAGTTGTTATCTCTTTCTCTTTGTGTGATAGAATCACATAGAATCTTTTTGTTTGTTTATTTATGACAAATTGAAGGCTTCTTAATATATTAAGAGAAGTCCATCTAGTTTACCCAGGAAAATTTAAGGAAGGATACATCCATGGTATAGAGAGGAGATAGGCACAACAAAGCTGGTGTGCTGACCTCTGGTATGGGGCCAAGACTGATATCTCCAAACTTGCCAGCTGCTGACCCGTTCCCTCCACTCTGGGCCTGGGCCTGACATCCTCAAAATGGGGCAGAAATTGGATAAGACCTAGGATATCTCTAGAGAGTCTCAGGTTCAATGAACTTCAGGACATATTAGGAGAAGGAAGGCAATAATGATCCTGAGACATGCTGCTCCCTGGACTTGGTATATTGTTACCCCAAGATCTTGCTGGGATTTCTGGGACCACTATCATCCCATAATCAGCCCTACTCATTGGTAAGATAGATCTTATTTGGATTTTTAAAAATCATCTTGGCAATGTGACTGAGGGTAGGGGTGTTAAGGGAGTCTTGTTTGCAAACGTTCTGTGCAGAAGCATGTACCCTGGAATGTGTCAATCTTTTCATTTCATCAAGAAATGGCCTGACTATAGGTTGACAAAATGATTGACTTCAACAGCAGAAGTACATTTTGAACACTTGTTGACTTATCACTCCACCTTGAAAAATCAAGACACCTGACTGTCAGTGATTATCCTTCTTTGCCTCTTAACCTAGCATAGCATTTCACTACTCATTTGAGGTGTTCTAATCCAAATACTTAATTTAAAAAAAAAAAAAAGGAAAGTGAATCCTCTGAGTAGGAAGGCTTAAGGTCAAGAAACAAGCTAGTATGAAGTCAGGATGTTGACAATAAGGAAGAATATTATGCAAGCATAAAACTATAGGGTTCTTGTTTGTTTGTTTGTTTTTGGATAGAAGATAATCCTTGAAACACGTGGGAGGAAATCAGAAACTAGAAAATCTCTATGGGTGCTTGGAGCCTTTATCAGAAAGTCATCTCTTAGTTTCAAGGAAAATTCCTGTTGTCTTTGTTTAGTCAGAGTCCAAAGCAGAACACATTGCATCAGACTTGAGGTTTCTGTTCTGCTCAGATAGCTTTTCGGTAAATTTAGACGAAACTGAAATTGAACTCATCAGTCATTTCATTATTGGCTGCTCCCTCATTCCTGTTATCCCTTCTAATAGATTTGTCCTGCCTTCTCCCTGCTAAAATTTCCATGTTCTGACGTGGGTGTGGGTATGTGTGTGGGGGAGAGTGTCACACTCCTTCCTACTAGTTCTTTCTGCTAATGATCCTGTTAACTGGTTTCTGTGTATTTTTATAGATTGTTTGCATCTTCTTTACTAGGCTGTTTATATTTCTAAGTGCTTCTGATTGATTGAGCTTCTTCTTACATCACTGCTTAACTCAATGGTCTCTATTGCCCTTTTCATATCCAAAGTTTAACTGAGATGAATTTCAATTTCAGTTCCTCTAACTATTCCTCTAATACTGAGTTTCTCATGTTTCAAATGGGAATTTTACAGATCAGTCACAGAATTTCAACCCCTTTAAAGTTCGTTTTTCTGTCTATCCATAAATAAGTGCACTATTTTGTCAAGGGTTCTTTCCCTGCTAATTTTGTGTGACTAAGGTTATCTCTTTTTACTGGAGTATCAATAAACCATTTAGGTCTCTTCAGTTGGATTCTTCTGAACTATTTTTTTACCCAGGAGCATTTCTGCTATGTCCACTTACCCACCTCTTGGGCTACAGTTCATTGAAACTTGTAGATGGATCTCAAAAGTAACTTGATTAAGCTGTTTTGAGGGCAAATGAAACAACTAAATAACAATTGCTCTTTAATGTCTTATTTGGGGAGAGACCTATTAAATCAAGGGTTTTTATAACTTTGGTTTTATGTATAGGTTTTAGGGGATCCAAGAATTTAGAAAAATATCTATATCTATCTGTACCCATATATAAATGTTATTGTTTTACTAAACTCAAACCTCCTTTCATAGCCCTATGAATTACATTTTGTTCATTCAGAAACAATATGGTGAGGCAGGGTCCTTAGGCCTCACCACACTCCTAGGGGGCCCTGATATACACAAAAAAGTCAAGAACCGTTATAATAGTTTGTTAAACACTTTAAATCTCTCCATATACTTTTGATTTATAGAAGGGACCTCAATGGTCATCTCAAAAGGGTTAGGTGGTACAATGCTGCTCCTACAGTCATTAAGATTAAGTTCTCTCTTTATATCTAGGTCTTATATCCATTTTCATGTTATATTGGTAAATGGTATAAGATAACGATCTGTGCCAATTTTTTGCCAGATTGTCTTCTAGCTTTGCCAACAATTTTTAACAAATAATGAATTATTATGCCCAAAACTTATCTTTACACTTGTCAAACACAAGATTACTATATTCATTTGTTTCTGTAAATTGTATGTCTACCCTGTTCCATGGATCTTAGCCAGTATCAGATAGTTTTGATAATTGCCGCATTATAATATAGTTTGAGATCTAATGCTGCTAAACTACCTCTTTACATTTTTTACAACTTTAAGTGACTAAATCATTTTGATTATTATAAATACCAAATTAACTAGAAAGGACTTATGAAGGAAGATATTATCTTCATCTAGAGAAAGAATTAATAGAAATATATATATATATATGATTTTACAAATATGTGTGTTTGTGTGTATATATATATATATGTATACATATTTATATATGTGTATGTATGTGTGTGTATGTCTAATGGCAGTCATATCTAGGATGGGGGCAGAGAAGAAAGACAAAAATGAAAAAGAAAGTTATATGATAACTTTGCTATATATTTAATAGGAATAGCAAGGTACACAATAGATTTTCAGTTTCATGTGAAATCATCTTTTTTTTTCTGTTTTACCATGTTATGGCAATACTTGTTTTATTTTTTAAGTTGAAGATAAGATAAATGATTAAAAAAAGAAAAAAAAAAGATGAGTTCAAATTCTGCCTCACACACTTACTATCTATGTGGGCCTGGGTCTTAGTTTCCTAATCTATAATAAGTAATAATAATAATAACACCTACATTATTTTGTTGTTTTGAGGATTAAATGAGAAAATATTTGTAAAGCAGTATATAAATGCTAAATATGATTATTAATGATATCTAATCCATCTTCTTTATTTTATAGATAGGATAACCTAGAATCATACAGTCATTATGTATTAGAAGCACAAAGTAGTTTCAAGACATGAAACAAATATCCTTTCATTTTTGCCTCATTGTATAGTGTAGGGGAAAGGGTGCTACATTTAGAGTCAGAGGATAAGGGTTCAGATTATGGTTTTACAACTTTACTACTGGTATGATTTTGTAGATACAGATATAAATAGACATAGACATAGTCATAGACATAGACATAGATATATTATTCTTGAGATTCTCTTTTCAACTCTGTCACTGGATTGATGTGTGGCCTTAGGTAAGTCATGTGACCTCTCTGGTCCTCAATTTTCTCATCTCTGACATGAGGATTTGGACTAAATGGTTTCTAATATCCCTTCTAGATTAAAAAACAAAACAAAGCAAAACAAAATTCTGTGATTCTATGGATAGACTCTTATATCCTCTCTGTTGACATAGTAATAATAATAATAATAGCCAGCATTTATATAAGTGCTTTAAGGTTTGCAAAATGCTTTACCTATGTTAATCCCTTTGATTCTCATAACTCTGTAAGTTAGTTCATAAAATCCTCATTTTACAGATGAAGAAACTAAGGCTGAGAATGATTAAATGGTTTGCCAAAGGCTACACAGGTATTAAGTGTCTGAGGCTGGCTTTGAATAGAGATTCTTTCCCCTATTGCACCTAGAAGCTTAAGTGCTGAGTCTCTACAGAATTTTGCTGGGTTGGAATGGAGAGGAAATAGAAGCTCTGCACCCAATAGAATGTGGAAAAATAAATTGACCTAAAAGTAATAGTGGAGTGATATTAAAAAAAAAAAAGCACTGGAAAACAGAGCAACTTGAGTACATAGGAAACTAGGAAGGAGAGGCAAGGAATACAGAGATAAGGGTCAGTTAGAGGAAGGAGCATGTCCAGGTCCTATTGCAGAGAAATCCAGGGGTTTCCAAGGAAACCCTGTATGGAAGACTATAGAGAGGATAAAGACAGTACAAGGATAGGTGAAGTGGACAGAATGGATGAGAACTGAAGTTTGGTGTCAAGCCTATTATCTAGTCAGAAGGAAATGGGCTACTGGGGATACCTTTGTTTGGAGGAGTCATTCTCTACAGGACCAAACATCTCATTAAACGTCTTCCTTAATTTTTGTGATGTCCAGAAACTTTCAGAGATAGTCTGAGCAGTCAGTGAACTGGTTGGTGTGCCTGCCAGCACAGGAACAGCTGAGATTGTTCAGTGTTTGCACTTGGTCTATCAGCAGCAATAAATTTTAATCGTCCAGCCACTTTTCAAGCATGCTACTGTTTGCCAACACTATTTTTGGCAGGCATCTGTAACAAAGCCTAATACATAATGCATATTTCCACAGTTTTTTATTATATTAGACTATTTAGTATTTGTTTGGAATTTTTGTAAATTCATTACCAAAGTATTATCATATTAATAACTTTGGTAACTGAACTATTAGACAAATATTAGTATCTGCATGCCATATGGCATGTATCCTAGGATGAAAAAATAGAAACCATCAATCACTATTGGAATTTCAAACAATATTACCATATATTTGGGAATGAAATTTTAAAGAAAATATATTTTAGCCATAGGAACAAAATAAACACTGTCATGAACAATTCATTCTAACTGAACAATCCTTTGAAAAATACCTGCTATATGTAAGGCACTGGACTAGGACCTTATGTCTTGAATATTTTCCTGTTGTTTATCTTTCTTACCTTCCTCTTTCTTTCCTCCTCCTCCTCCTCCTCCTCCTCCTCCTCCTCCTCCTCCTCCTCCTCCTCCTCCTCCTCCTTCTTCTTCTTCTTCTTCTTCTTCTTCTTCTTCTTCTTCTTCTTCTTCTTCTTCTTCTTCTCTTCTTCTCTCTCTCTCTCTCTCTCTCTCTCTCTCTCTCTCTCTCTCTCTCTCTCTCTCTTTCTCACATTTCAGGAGTACAATAATACAATATTAATCAACACTCCAGAAGTAATGACATTTAGCTACAGTCTTTTTTCCTCTTTCCACAATGACACAGTCCAGAGGTAGAGACCTATGCTATATTGGGGGAATAATAGAGCCACTGTGACCTCAGAAAAGTCATTTTTTAATCCCTGTTCTTTAGTTCCCTGGTATGCTCAGTTCCTTCCACTTCCACTTCCTTGTGCTCCCCCCTTTCCAGCCAGTCATTGATGTAAGGTCTCAGTTCATTTCTAGAAGGAGGGAGGGATTCACCCTGAGGAGAATACTCTTCTTTCCTGAAAGTAGTTTGGCTCTTCATTCAAGTACAGGTTTCCACCCTATTAAATTCTATGTATTCTTGTCATTACTCTCACTATTGTTATGTCATAGGACCAGAGATTCTATCTTTCTCCCCGGTGGACTCTCACATTGATTTCAATGATTCCAAGCACTGTGTTTAGTCTTGTTCACAATGACTCAAATCACAGTTCTAGCACCATTACCTTGGAGATACTTTTATAATTCAATAGTTTCTCACTGTCAGGAAATGTGATGGCTATTCCTGCTATTTTTTCACAGTTTTTTTTTTTCATTCTAATAATACCTCTCTCAAAGAAATTCAAAAATGTTTTGCAAGTGTTGACTTATGTATCTTACTAACAGCCCTATGTTGGAGGTCAATCTGTTATCATCCTCATTAAAGTAATTAACTAATGATGCTTATTTGTCCTAGAAACCAGACTTAGTGAGAAGCCAAAGAGTTGAGCGAGCACAGAGATTATTGGCCTGGGTTCTGAAGAAGGAGAGAGAGAGAGAGGGACAGAGAGAGAGAGAGAGAGAGAGAAGAGAGAGAGAGAGAGAGAGAGAGAGAGAGAGAGAGAGAGAGAGAGAGAGAGAGAGAGAAAGAAGAAGAAGAAGAAGAAGAAGAAGAAGAAGAAGAGAAGAAGAAGAAGAAGAAGAAGAAGAAAAGAAGAAGAGGAGGAGGAGAAGGAGGAGGGGGAGGAGGAGGAGGAAGGAAGGAAAAGAAAATTGAATTTTAATATGGTTGGTTTCTTTTTTAATCAAGTGCATTTTATTTTATACATTTGAAAACATTCTGAGAAGGGTTCATGAGCTTCACCGGACTCCAAAGGTGCTGATGACACAGAAAACAAAAACAAAAACTTAAGAACTCCTCCTGTAGCATGGTATAATCCAAAATATTATAAAATCCCTTCACATAATCAGACATTAAAGATGTGTATTCATCAAATAAATTTAATGTATTGTTTAAATTATGTTAATTAATTTAAATTAAATTAAGAAAGAAGCTTATGCTTTAATAATATCATGACAAAAAGGAAAGTTATAGAAGTTATCAGGAGAAAAGCTCCACAAGGCTTCCTGCCCATTGGGGAATCTTTCTTCAATTTTTCTTCTTGTGCTTTCAATAGTTGTTATGAAAGAAAGATAAAGTATATTTAAAAGAAAGAATTTTTTACCTGGAATTTCAGTGATCAGAAAAGCTGAGCTTTTTGAGCATATATTAGAGATCTATAATTAGGCTCAGATAAATGGGGCTTTTTGCCAGGGTACAGAAATGTAGAGGGTGCTCTTTCAGCATTATAGAATCAGTTCAGTCTACTACCAAATTAGTAATGATAACTAGTTAAACTAGGAAAGCATCAGATTATACATTTTGTTTTTTTCTTTATATGTGGCTTGTATATATAGTCATATTGTTCCCTATTAGAATTTTAACTCCTTGTGGGCAGGATCTATTGTAATTTTGTCTTTGTATTCTCAGTTCTTAGCACATAGTAGTATCTGATTCCTCCTGCCCCACCACCAGGTGGGCTTCCCCTCAGACCTGCCCTGTTTTTACTCTCTCCCTCTGCACCCTATATAACCTTCCCTGCAGTGTGCTATGAAGTTCCAGGTTCTCTCCTCCCTTCAACTGAATTTGCCTTTAAAAAGTTGATTTGAAGGTTAATTACATGCCACTTGCCCTGGGCACTTGGGAAGCTTGCCATAGGCACTGATATTGCTAGTTAAGACAATGCATCAAGCATGGTTTCTTACAGTATAGGTAGTTTTTGTGTCCAATCTTCAAGTGACAAAAATAGTCTAGCTTCACTACTTCCTTTGGGAGATGATTACAATGTCAATGAATTCCCTGTGAGGAAAAATGTTCACCCTAGTCATTGTTATATAATGCTACTAAATACAAACTAGAAACCTAGATGGCTCTACTAGCCAAAATCCTCCGGTTTCGTTAGAATGAAGGGCTCATTCTATTATCCCTACAGCTACTATAGTCATTACAATTTTTTTGTATATTTTAAAACAAATCATTGCCTCACGGTTTCCTTATCCTCACAGTGTAAAAATATTGATGTATGAAGTTAGGGTTCTCATTTTTTCAAGTCTCTACATTAGTTATATTTAAGTTTCTGCCTATAATGTTCACACCTTAAAGAGAGAAACCATGCCTTCTTTTGTATTCCCAATAGCTTCTCCTACTGCATGGAATTGGGAATCATTCCATTAAAAAAAAATTACTGTTTTAAAATTTTCACTTAGAGCTGAAGAAAGGGGAAGCTGAGGGAAAAAAAAACAACTATGATTGACTAATTCAAAATATTAGTGTGAGGGCTACCACAAATTTATTTTTTTCTACAGTCCTTAAAAGGGCAGTTTGATCTTGAGAACAGAAATTTAAAAGCACAGTAACTGCTCCCATCCAGACCTTTCAGATTAGTGTGGTTTATAGCCATCTGAAGAAAGCCACAGGGACTGGAAAAAAGAGGAATGTTTTATAGATGGATGGAAAGCCACTTAAAAGCAAAGAAAAATCAATGTACCCAGAACACTTGACACAGGTTCACTGTTTGACTGTAACATGAGAACGGATATGTCAGCTCAATGGGTCTTAAACAGAGGACTGTCCTTTTACCAAGCATTCAAATACATTTTGCCTGTCTAGTGCAGATGTTTTGTCATATTTTAAAACTAGAAATCTCTTGTGCTTGAGAATTGGCAAATACCATATTTATTCATGTAATTTCCTTTTTTATGTTCTTTTGCTCTAAAATAACAGCTAACATTTGCATAGGGCTTTACAATTTATGAAGTACTTTACATACTTGATCTCATTTGATTCTCTCTACCTTTGTGAAGTACATACTACAGGCATTAGTTTTCCCATTTTTTAGATAAGGAAACTGAGTTCAGAAGAATTTAAATAAATTGTCTGAGGTCTTCTAGCAAGTAAGTAGAAGTAGGATCCAAAAGCAGTTCTTCTGACTCGAGAACCAAGGCCCATACCCCTATACCTTACTAGACAAAATAGGGGCAGAAAATATTTTGTTGCCATCTTGCTTTTGGTCCGCTGTATTCCTCAGTAACTTTCATTAAAATACATAAAACAATGATAAAATTAGTCAGATGAGTTCAAATTGCTTCCCCCACCCTTTTTTCCCTGAAGTTTAGTTAGGTGTCACAGTAGATACAATACTAATCTTGGAGTCAGGATGACAGAGTCCAGATCCCACCTCAGACATATATTAGCTGTGTGAGACCCTAGGCAAGTCTCTTAAGCTCTCTGAGTCTCAGTTTCCTCATAATACAGTAAACAGATTTGACTAGATCAACTGTAAGATCCCTTTTAGCTCTAAATTCTAGTTGTTGTCCCTATGTTCTCCTTGGAAAAACTTCTGGATGATGACTCCACATACATAATCAATATCACATCACTTGCCTTCTCAGGCGGTGGGGGAGGGCAGGAGGGAAGGAGATAATTTAGAATTCAAAATTTAAAAGAAAAATGAATATCAATTTTTTACATGTAATCAGGAAATATTTAATGAAACAAATAAAATTTTACCAAAAGGAAAAGAATGCAGGATATTTAACTCATCCTTTAAAGTAGGAAGTTACTTGCATTCCTCATGTTTTTCTCTGTAGAGAATGATAATTTGCAAGTGGTGTTTCTATTGAGACTTCCCCTCCTAGGTCTAAGTTTTGGGCTTGGACAAAGAAAGAACAGAAGGTGATTAATGCCCGAGCTCACTTTTCTAGGTGGACATGCATCATAGAATCTAACAACCTTGTAACTTCCATCCCAGTTGAGGTAAGAAGGGAACAAAGAGAGAATGACAGGAAGTGAAAGATGAAGCTAGTGAGGCCCGGAGAAATGACCTATCTTAGTGAAAGACACATAGGTAGCAGGTAGAACTGAGATACCAACTTGGGGCCTCAGATTTCAACCTAGTACTATTTGTTCTCTTCCAAACTGCCTGTCTCATATTGTTTATTCTGTTTCATTTCTTATTGAACCATTTCATGTCTGGAAACAGTATGCCCAAGGTCATGTAGTTAGTAAATAGCAAAACTGGGATTTGAACCCAATAATACTGTTTTTTTTATTGTTTTATTTTACTTTGTTGTTTTTGTTATCTAATCTGTAAGCAGGAGCTGTAAATTTAATTTATTATCTTATCTCAAGTGGCTTATGCCACCTTGAGGTCCCTTTTTTGTCAGTAACGTTGTTCTTCAACAAAACAAACAAAAAATAATAACATCCTCAAAAAGTGTTGAAAGGAAAGTGTATGTGTGCTTCTCAACATTTATATGCATTGGAATATTAAATGTTAAATGTTATATTAAATTAAATATAGGAATAAATATGTTAAGGCAAACTCAGAATAAGACACAGTACAAGGGAGTATCATTTGCACAGTGATACACTTTGATCTTTTGTGTGACAGTTTGGACTACATTAGGGACTCGTGGTGTATCTGTTCTTGTTTCTGTTTCTGCAATTGAGCAGAAACAAA